GAACCTTAACTCTATCTAAAGTAATTACAGATTTATTGCCCTTTCTTACTTTTCCATTGCATTTTTCTTGTCCTGAGCATTACTTGAAAAGAACTAGTTGAAATACAACTTCATACAATGGCTCAGCACATTGAGAGGAAGTGAAGTGCATAAGAACCATAACTTTATTTTAAGAGTCATTGCCCTTTCATACCTTTCCTTGTCCGAATCATAATTTGAAAAGTATTGGTTGGAATTCAAAACAATTTCATACAATGGACAAGCACAAATAGAGGAAGTGTATTGCATTAGAACCATAGCTCTATCCATAGTAATTATTATTATTAGTTTTGCTCTTTGTTACTTTTCCATTGCTTTTTTCTTGTCCAGAGCATAACTTGAAAACCACTAGTTGTAATTCAATACAAATTCATACAATGGTCAAGAACATTGAAAAGTACTTGTTGAAATTCAAAACAACTTCGTACAATGATCAAGCATAATAAACGGGAGTGCAGTGAACAAGAACCATAGCTCTATCTTAAATAATTATATAGTTATTGCCCTTTGTTACTTTTACGTTGCATTTCCCTTGTCTGGAGCATAGCTTGAAAACTAATGGTTGGTATTCAACGCAACTTCATACAGTGATTAAACAAAATAAGAGAAAATGCAGTGCACAAGAACCATAACTCTATCCAGAGTGATTATAGAGTCATTGCCCTTTGTTACTTTTCCTTGTCGCAGAGCATAACATGAAATCTACTGATTGGAATTCAATAGAAGTCCGTACAATGGTCAAGTATATTGAGAGGAAGAACAGTGCATAAGAACTTTAACTCTTTTTTAAATCATTTTAGAGTTATTTTCCTTTGTTACTCTTTATTTATCGGAGCATAACTTGCAAATTAATGGTTAGAATACCATGCAACTTCATACAATGGTCAAGCACAGTGAAATGAAGTGCTCAAGAACCATAACTCTATTTGGACTAATTACATAGTTATTGTCCTTTGTTCCTTTTATTGTCCGGAGCATAAATTGAAAATTAATGGTTGGTATTCACTGCAACTTCATACAATGGTTGTGCGCAGTGAGATGAAGTGCAATGCACACGAACCATAACTGTGTTTAGACTTATGACATAGTTATTGCCCTCTGCTACTTTTTCTTGTCCGAGGCATAACTTGAAAACTAGTTGTTGAAATTCAATACATCTTCATACAATTGTCAAGCGCAATGAGAGAAAGTGCAGTGTACAATAACAATAAATATATCTTCATTATTTGCAGAGTAATTGCCCTTTGTTTCTATTTCTTTTCCGGTGCATAACTTAAAAAACTAATGTTCAGAATTCAATAAAACTTCATCAATGGTCAACCACAGTGAAAGGAAATGCAACGTACAAGAACCAAAACTATCTTTAAATGCCCACAACCATAACTCTATTTAAATTCATTTACAAGGTATTCTGTTTCTAGTAATTTCCTCATTTCAGAAGTAGTCTTGCGGGGGAATTAATCACAATTAGTGATAACTCTAGTTCAAAATGCTAAACAGTTTCGTAACAATAAAAACTCTTTCTGAAACCCGGCATTTATACAGATCTATAAGTGTCAGTGAAATGACAACTCAAGCTTTATCATTGTTATCATTGTTTCATTGTAAAAATGTAAGGGGCAAGTTGGTAATTGAACGAGCTTAATGTAAACAAATAGAAATCTTCAACATTTATACATGTATGAAGAGTAAATGAAAAGTATCGTTAAAAAGATACTCGGTCGAAGTAAAACTGGTTAAAGTGCATATGCTATTTCTAAGTTTTCGATACATATAGAAATGTCAGCAATACTTGCATAACAATGACATCATAGGTTCTTGTAGCTAAGAAAAATAAAACATTTTGTAAACATAGAAATTAAATTATAAGCATATTGATATAGATGCCTCTTAAAATCAGAGCAATTTCTATTCTACGGTATTCATTTATGTACCTTTGACTTGTTTTACGTATGACTTTATACCTTTGTAATCATTTGCGTTTTTTGGCAGTATAATTTAAAAGAATAACATAATTCTAAAATATTGCAAATAAAGTAATAGTTAAGCAGAACTTAAATGTCAGAGCAATTTAACTAGAAAGTTAAACAACTATCCTATACATTTTATTCTATAACTATTTTATAATGGCAAAAGCCATCCTTTACAATCATCCTTAAAATTTTATTTTAGAATTGCAAGAACTATTCTTTAAAATTGATTTAAGAATGAAAAATGAAAATTTCTAATCACATTCGGTTTTCCCGTCACTTTACAGAAAGTCAAACTGATTTCAGACGGCCTTTGGCCGAAAAATGACCTGCTATCTCTTTTAGTGCCGAAAAACATAACTCTATTTTGTCCCGTTTTTAAATAGTCTCCCCGTTTAGAAAAATTTGTCCAAAGCATATCCTAAAGACCTTCGAGATAATTTGTTTGAACTTAACAGAGTATATAGAGGGCATTGAGACGGAGTACATTGCCAAATAACCATTACTCTACTTTGCCCCAGTTTTGAATTATCTCCCCTTTTAGAAAAATTTTATCAGGAGCATAACCTGGAAACCCTTGGACTTTATTTGTTTAAACTGCACACAGAGTGCAGTGCCAAAGAACCTTAACTCTGTTTTGCCCCGTTTTTTAATTATCTCCCCTTTTAGAAAAATCTTGTCCGAAGCATATCCTGAAAGCCCTTAGAGATAATTTTTTAAACTGCACACAGTGGTAAAGGGCATTGAGACGGAGTGCAGTGCTAAAGAATCATTACTCTATTTTGCCTGTTTTTGAATTATCTCCTCTTTTAGAAAAATCTTTTTCGGAGCATAACCTGAAAACCCGTGTTTTATTTTGAACTATGTCCGGAGCATAGCTCTACAACCATAAGAGGTATCAACAAGAAAATAGGTATGTTGATCTTATTAAATGAAAGTGAAGTGCAAATGAACTGAAAGTCTGCCTTCCCTTATTCTGGAGTTATTGCCCTTTTCATTTCTACATTTTTAACTATAAGAGATATAAACTTAAAACTTTGTGGGTAGATATATCTCATTTGGTAAAAGTGCTGTGCAAACGAAACATAACTCTGCCTTCCCTTATTTTGGAGTTATTGTCCTTTTTCCTTTTTCATTTTTTTTCACTTTGAAGTTTGTGCGGGACCTAGATCTGAAATCGTAAGAGATATCAACAAGCAACTTTGAAGGTATATAAATGTATTTGGGTAGAAGTGAAATGCAAAAAAATCATAACTTTTTCTTCCCTCATTTTGGAATTATTGCCCTTTGTTCTTTTTTTTCACTTTGAACTTTGTCCGGGACTTAGCTCTGAAACCATAAGAGATATCAACAAGAAAATTTGTAGGATAATATATATCATTGGGTAGAAGTCCAATGCAAAAGAACCGTAATTCTGCAGATATGCAGTGCTATAACTCTCCATTGCCTAATTTTGAGTTATTTTCCTCTGTTCATTTCTACACATTAAACTTTGTACAAGACATTACTCTGACACTTAACGAGATATGAACAAGAATCTTTGCAGGTAGATAGACCTCATTGGGTAGAAGTGCAATGCAAAAGAACCGTAATTCTGCCTTGCCTAATTTGGAGTTATTCTTTGTTCAACTTTTTATTATGTTCGGCAATAAATCTAAGATTATAAGAGATATTGACGTAAAGCTTTGTAGGTAGATGTATCTCTTTGTGTAAATATGCAGTGCAAAAACACCGTTACTCCGTCTTGCCTATTTTTGGAGTTAATGTCCTTTTTCAATTTTACACTATGAACTTTTTCCGAGACTTTAAGTGCTGTGAAACTACAATAGTAACAACAAGATTCTAAGCCGGTAGATATATCTCATTCAGTAGAAGTGCAGTGCAAAGCACAGTGAATCTGCTTTGCCTAATTTTGGAATTATTGCACTTTGAACTTTGTCCGGGACAAAGCTATGAACCTACGAGTGTTGTACTTTCTGTGTTTAAAACCTATTCGGTGGCATCATCCGGTTCAAACCGGCTCTTGTTTAATCTCATGTATGTTGAATATTTGTATCCTACATGTTGTTTTAAATGTCCCTGTGTACACATAATTTATATTCGTCGGTAAAAGATGTCGCTTCATATTTTTACTTAAGTGTATTTTGTTTTAGTTTATGAATGTCGGTTTTGATTGTAGTTTTTTTCCTTTTACTGTCCGTCAGACATACAGTCTTGTTGTATGTCAATAGACTAACAGTAGAGTGTGGTGGCATACGTCTCCTATGGATACATTTTTAGATCTATTTGTAGCTCCAGTAATAATCCTGTTTAACGGACCAATAACATTTGAGCATTTTTATCGAGGATCACCAATATAGTTTCATCACGCGTGGCCAAGCAATTAAAGATATGTAAAATATATAGTGATGGAAGCCGGACATTGGGGTATTACAATTCTTCATCTTAAGAACCATAGTGCTTTGGTGAGCTAATCACTTTCTCAAGCCTTACACCCATTGGCGCTGTGTTTTTTGTTGTTGTTGTTGTTTTATTTTATTTTTTGTACATTCTGTTCGGCCTGATAATTTATAAAACCAGATCGCAATTGCCAACGACATGTACTAGTATTTGCTTTGTTTTAATTGCTCTCAATTTTTCTCCTTTTCTTTGTTTTTTTTCTTCTATTTGTTTTGGTGAATTGTTTTTAAAGTATTTATTTATTAATCTAGTAATTATTGTCATTATCAAATCATTAAACAGACACTCTAACATTTCCTCAAGTAAAAGCAGAAGAAATAAACCCCGAAAACTAGAACAAAACGGATTATTTCAGAAGCTTATATTTCAATAAATAAAAAAATTTAAAGCGGCATTTCGATTGCATTCATCAATGTTATGCCTTCAAAGAGAGGTTTTGAAATATTATTATGATGGTAGATTATATTTTTGCTATCTTCTAGAGACTCTTGACTTTAAGATAGAAAAGTGAGGGAAAATTTTTACACGTACCTGTATTTAAAGTGAATGCATTCTTACTTTGTGAATATCCACAAACAATCACTTTTAAACAGTCTTAAAATTATGTTTTCACTTCAGAAAATAGTCATATTGATAACTAGCTAACAAAATATTACACGCAACTGATCACGTGACTTCTTTGTTGCTAAGTTACTCTTACCATATATGGCATGATCGGTTATTGATACTTGTGTAATTATAAATGTATACTACCCAGCAAACACAAGACGTCATGCTGACGTCAGATTTAAGTCAGGTTCTGACGTCGGATGACGGTCGGAAAAACGGTTGGATTTGAAAGTTTTTTTGACGTAATAATCTGACGTCAGGTAGACGTCAGAATCTAACCATTATTTAACCTTTTTCTGACCAAAATCGGACCATTATCTAACCATTTTCCGACCTCAATCTGACCATTTTCCGACCTAAATCTAACCAGTTTCTAACCATTTTCCGACCTCAATCTGACCATTTCCGACCTAAATATTAACCCTTTTCTGCCCTAAATCTAATCATTTTCTGACCTTCATCTGATCATTCCCCTAATCCTTTTTGTTTCACCACGTCATAAATATTTTCTGGCTAATCCTGATTTGATCTAAGTTAATGTAACTCATTCTATTAAGTAACTTTCCCTCAAATGAAATGTATAACAGAAAAATAAAAGCAAAAATATGTTTCATGCTTTTTTAATTTAAGATAAAAGTTGCAATTTTAAGCTGATACATACAATTTTAGTAAATTCTGCAAGGTTAAAATTTTTTCATAAATTAAACAAAATAAAACATAAAATAAGTTAATTACAAAACAAAAAGTATTACAAAAACAATGACATAAATGAAACTAAGAAAACATGTACAAATATTAAAGAACAAAACAATGTATGCACATTTCTATCAAAGTTTGCCTTATCAAATAAAACAATGAAAGTATTATAATTTTAAGAAAAGTTAAAAGATTCTGATAATAATGTTTCAAGCAATTTATGACAGATTTTCAGTACTTTAACTATATTTCTACAGCATTTCTAAAACATTTAGTGCCATTTTGCATATTTTGACCTCCTTTGATGATTGTCAGTAATGTATAAATTGCTGCCTTTTAGCTACTTCACAAAGTTATACTTTTAGATATCCATGAGAATTAGCACGAATTTTGAGGTGTGATGCTTTAAGATATGACCTTCTTTCAGCACCCCTCGTCTGTCCGGAGGATATGTAGCGTTTGTAGCGCCCAATAGCGTGTGTGACATCATTTTCACTGAAAAAAAAAAGAAATTTATGAAACATGTAAAAATAACAAGCAAAAATGTTTTCATGGTTATCTTAACTTAATGAACAATTTTGCCAACTTTTTATAAGAGAGCTTTAACAAAAATTAAAAGTAAACATAAATACTGAACATTTAAAAAACCGCCTTTAAACTCCAGTTAAGT